AAGCTTTTCAGGAGGTGATTTACATGAAAATATCAACTGGTTGCCTACTGGTCGAGATTACCCGCATTTGGTATAAAAAATTTGAACAAAAAAGGTTCTTATTCTTTACAATAAATAGATTTGATGCATTGACTGACAAACTTTGACGCCCCCCGTCAATCCTCGTCCGATCGCTTGAACTTATTACCCTTAGTATCGTCGTGTGCGCCGAGCTGAAAGCTTTTCCGTTACACAACCAATGGTAATAAAAATATACATCATATCCCATACTGTAATGGAAAGTTTAATGGACCTTTCATACCCGATACATGAACCACAGTGCCACTAAATTATTCACTTTGAACTCCACTTTCAATAAAACAAATTGCTTGGAGGATGCTCTGAATTTCTGTTTAGAGTATAGTTGATTCTACGTGCTATTTAAAAGCCATGCTGTAATAGTTGTTAGTTTATTTATATATAACGTGAACGTAACTAACATCATACTTATTCAATACACTATTAGTGTTGGCTTAGGATTTTATTAGACCAAATATAGCCGACTGTTAATAAAAGTCGTAAACATTTTCCAGGCTTGGATAATTATGATCATAAGTAGGTATATGATCTGTAACCGTAATCTCTTGTTCGATACACGCACTGGCAACCACTTCACAACAAGACGATCGTATATGTAGCATTAGAATATAGGTACTTTAAAAAACCAATCCATCATAAAACATACGCGCAAACTCCTTCAACACCAACTCTAATAATAAAAAGGATGTTTGTAAACCTGTCTAACGTCAGGAACATTAATAACAATTAAATGTTATTAGCAGTTAGCTATGTTTACACGATTCCACACAGACTCGTAAATTGATTCCTATGGAACATATCGCGATAGATAGCACAACGTAACCGTACATTAAAAACTGTACTTTATCATGTACAACGCATTAAAATCCATGTACTGATAGTAAATCAGTTATGTGCGGTAAATCAACTCGCTCTGTCTCTCAATAAAACAGTTTACACGTTTGGCAACGTGCCTACATTTACGAAATAATATCGGTTACTTTCCTAACACGGTGCGCGGTCGAGCAAAAATATTTAAAGAGCTCCAACTGGTTGGAAATAAAAGGATGAACGCCTAAAAGGACAAAGTTCTAAATTCAAAAAGTTTAAAGCCGTTTAAATCAATTTGAGTCGGGACAATGTGAGTAGTATAAGCTGGATGAAATGTCAACGTTGGACTAAGAATAACAACATTAATAAGTTGAGAATGTTTAAGCTCGTCACCGTGTGCCGGTCAAAGCATCATGAATCGTGAACTATGTTTAAACAGCATACGGGTGGATTATACATGAACGATCGAAGTTGTTTCCAGTAGATGAAACTTGGTGTGGAATGAATGTGCCACAACTTCAGCCACAATGCTAAATATTTTGCCACAATACGTAATGTTCTATTTGAAACACACACCTAAACAAATTCAGATTAGAAACGGTTTGAGAAATACATATCAAATATTTTGATGCTATGAAAGCAAGAATTTCCAAACGATTCTTTGTTAGTTTTAATTGTTTTAACTTTGTTGTATAAAATACCAGAAAACAAGGACTAGAACTGTTATACAAAAATGTAATTAGTAAGTCTAACTTAACGTCATAAAAAGTCCGGAGAAAATTCACCGTCGACGTCTTAATAACGTCAGCTATTGGGTAGGAAAAAGTTGCAAAAAATAAAAATAAAATGTTTAATACATCTTCCCTGTAAATACTCCGCGTAGAAACTCCCAACTCGCGCCAACGGAAAAACAATCTTAAAAAATAAACGCAAAGTAATCATAAAAGTTTCACCTTGATGAATAAGTATCGATTTCAGGAAATTTTGCGGATAATGTAACCAGGCCTATGACTAAAAACCTTTTTGAGTATGAGAGTGACTGTCTTCAAGGCCCGAGTGAATAGGTTGCTTACGGGTAGACGTGCTACATCGTAGGCTGCATAATCGTTTACCACCATGAGAGATAGTGGCCAAACGTAGGCCCATCAAATATAAAAAAGAGTAGAATTGTAAGAAGGAATTAATCAAAATATGAATGTAACCATACGTCAGTATTCAGAGACCAGAGCGATACACACACAAAAATATTTAAAAAATCTTCTTTAATATATCTGTGGATACACATCATTACAGTTCTCTTTCAATTTATAATTATAAAATTAAATATTTATCTACAAATAGCACACTACACGAATCTGCCTAGATTTCTTTTGTTAACTTTTAAATTTTTAAGATGTTCTTTCTACGGCTAACGATAAAATATGTGACAATGCCTCCTATTTTGGAAATCTTGCCTCATTTTAAGATTTTGTCCTCGCATTACAACTTTCGTCAGTACCTGAGAGAGCACAGAATGAGTATCCTTAGTATCTTCTCTATACTATACACAAAGAATCAGAAGGGAAAAGTTATTGCGGTGTTTATTGTTGGAACATCTTCCACAACGACTGCCTCGAGGAAGTTAGGCCAAGGCAGTGGAATGAATTTCAAATTAGAGATCATACACGAAGAGATATTGCACAAAACCATGGATCACATTTGCACGTTTTGTAAACATTGCACATGAATAACAGGCCACTACATCAAGTGATTATGTGCTGCGACTCGACTGTAAACATCGTAACCGTTCAGCATAAGTACATACACGAGTATGAAGTCTATGAATAAAGAAACTCCCATAAAAACTTGTGAAAAGCATAGAGGCAGAAAATTTTCCATTTTAAATATCTGGTTAGAAGTTGCTGACACGAAGTAGGTAAGATTTTCATGCAAGAAATAAATTTGTTAAACGGTTTTATAGAAAACTAAAGCTAGTTTATCTATATTCTATAGTAAACTTACGTTTTAAGGTGCGGCTAGGCGGCGCGGATGTCGCGCAATGTAGTACAGACTCGTGTGGTGCTCGTGCATCAACCTGTGAACAATAACCAGACTATATAACACTGTATATTAGTGATAAATTCCTTTTGAAAACGCCTACCTACGTCAGACGCACCTTGGGCAGTCAGCCATGCTATCAACCTTGCTAACGAGTTATCTTTTCATCACAAAGTGAGTTATTTTCGCAGAGCACGAACACGTAGGAGAGAGTGGACCATCTTTCTACTAATCCAATTTATTTCTAACGTCAAAATTACACAGTACTTATCCCAATCGTCTTAATTAAGATCTGAGGTCCAGGACAAAAATAGATTCGTCTATTACGTCAAAAACAGGCCACGAATTAGATACATTGTTGTATTTGTATTGTTTTTCACGTAGGGCGTATAACTGGTTTTCTATTTCCTTCGAACATGATTTTGACCTGACAAGACGACCTACAATATTATTACCTACGATATACGGTTATGGACATCTGTGACGTGCAAAACACCAATTAAATATGAATAAATGGATATTAATTGTGTATTTAATGACTTACAATGACGTCCTCTTACATATCTATTGCGAAGCTGCCTACATCCATTGCATACAGATGCATCTGTACTGTACGTACCCCAATGACGGAGTTAGTAGTACTTAGTACCGGTACATATATAACATCTAGGAATTCAATAAAGAAACTTTACATTTTAAATGTAATTGACAACAAGGTATTCACAATATTCTATAGTTTTTTAACCAAAAATATTCTGTAAAAAGTCAAAGCCAAGTCTCGATGGAGCCGTTCGTTCATCTCTGAAAAGTAATGTATGAAATCTAGATAAAGTCGTGCTAAATCTAAGATGCCTCACTGCGATTTCCTTGTAATTACATTAAAGTTATATAGTATATAGTAATGTTGTGTGACTTGGCCGTTGAAGGGTACACTAGGGTGCAAAACCAGGTGCAAGACATTAGGATGATGAAAATTCCTGCGTTCTGGTCTTATCCAGAGGTTCTTAAAGAAGGGCCTGATAACGCGGCGAAATGGTTCCAGTCAAGTATGATACGGCAGTGTTGCCGCTCGACTTGGCCGGGGCACTGCCGTGCTCCAGATTCGTAGATTGCTGGCGCAACCATAAGACTAACATTTCATATAACGATTAGAGTTCTTTAAAAAAAAACAAATACCACCTAATAACAGTATTATTTTTGAATACCAACGTTAAAAGCGTTGTATTTACTCTGCCGGTGTTTAATCCATAATACTGTATGGAGCAGCTAAGCTATTCTGTAACTGGCAATTCGAAACTTTCGAAGTGAAGCACGATCGCACTCTCGTCCGGTCTTTAGTCCAGACTCGAGATTATTTTCACAACCAATGATATGGCGGACCGGAATCGAGTTCACTTCAATGTTTCGAATTGAAAATTACATAATAGCTTAGCTGATGAGTTTCATGAGTGGGAATCACTTTATTTATCACACATACATACACATAAATAAATACTTAGTATAATTAGACTATTTTCCTTGAAACATTGCGAGTAATATTTCACCGTCAAATCAAAATAACCTTGTTTTCTCCTTCTCGGATTTACAGCATAAAAATAAATTCTCAAATTGAAACTTTCTCCAGACTGCTCGATATAAATATAGGGCGAAGAAAATTAAAAATAAATGACCGGTAAACTGAAAAAATAATATGATGAACAGTTCAATTATACCCAATCCAAACATCAAACAGTGGGTGAAAAAATGGCAGCGTATGACGACAAATTTATTGTTTCATTATTTCATTTATTTTTTTCATAAATATAAGTGGTTCACTGTTAATTAGTAGAAAAAAGTTAGCCGACCGACTTACACTTCAGCAATATTTGGGCGGCCTTTATCTTTTCAGAAGTAATTAATTCTGGAGTTATCAACCAGCAGGTTTAATTAAAACTTCACAGGTATATGAGCGGGCCCGGATCGGGCTACTTATCCAAGAGGCTAACGAACGATCTCTTTGGGGGAACCTCTGTATAACATACAATACCCCTAACTTTTTATTATTAGATTTCCTTTATATCAGTAATCAGTATGAGATGAAGCTTTTACCAGGAAAACCAATAACCGGCCTCCTCTCTGATAAGGAATGCCTACTAAACGTTGGCATGTCGCGTCGGCCTGTACGGTTTGGGCACAGCATAAATAACATTATTATTACGAGTAACGTGCGAAACGTAATAACTTTCATATACATACATTTATTTGAGGAACACGTCTACTGCAAGAGCGGTTTTATGAAGAAATATTCGTGTTCATTTTTATTGCCTTTTTCATTTTGTGCAAATAAATATTACTTACTTCATAAAGTGAACATTACGGAATGTAAGTGTTTTTATATTAGTGTAATATGTAAATTGTAACCGAGAAAGGATAATATTACTTTCAATATTCTAGTTCTAAGATGCAGCTTAGCCCTCAATCCATTACGAAACTGATTGGATCAACAAACGAGACGTCATTGTCATCGTACTCAAGCTCAACGTAAATTATTCCTTTTAAACGCCTATTTCCCCTTTGGACACAAAAATGACCATTTTATTTGCATCCGTAAATACCTACATATTAATAGAAAAAAATACCGGCGCCATGGCATTGCCTTGAAAACCTGAATACACCAAAAACTTCCCTACGCATTGACGTCATTAGCAATTCGAAATTTGAATAACCGGTTGCAAGGTCATGAGGTACTCATCCTAAAATTAAAATTTAAAATATGTGAAGGATTTACAACTGTGTAACACGTAAAATATTAAAGTATTCTAACACCCTTTATAGTGTAGGTAGATACAAAGGTATAAAGATCGACCTCCCACGTATTGACGGATCGCGATCGCTTCCACACGCAGTTCACGCACACCAAATGCATAAGAAAACGACCTCGCCGGATAAACACCACTGACGCAAGCAACTTGTAGGTAGATCATTTAAATTGTATGCACACTGCACTCTGCTCAAGGATACGCATGAATGGATAAAGGGCGACATTTTTCTGTTAGAAAGTCGCAACAGGTAACACACAGGTAGGTACCGAGGTTTCTATTGTACTGTAACGGCAAGGCACTTTCTTCCCTATCATTATAAATAGCACCACGATATTTAAGCTAACCAGCTTAAGCACGTTGACATGAATTGAGGTGATTAGGCCGTTAGAATAATGACTTTGACAAATGCTCTAGAATATCCTCTAGTCTATCAAAGTCTAATTTACGTATATTATACACAGTTCCGTAATTTGAAATGTCACACAGCCGACAAATATTCATTACAACGATGATTAATTGTTCTAGGAACTTCATGTTTTAGAATTTGAGAATGTTCAAACAGATGTTAAACCGGTGTTTATTATACAAGAGGAATGAGGATATTATGACTCCTCAGCTGGAAGTAATTTTCAGATAAGGGTTATGAATGAAAATAAAGTTATCAAAGGATTGAATTATTGGATTTGGCAATTATTTTAATATTTAATGAAGTAGAATGTCAACGAACTTACCAAATGAAATTGTTATATAATAAAGTAGTACCTATACGTGTTGGTTCCGTACTTGGTCCTCGGGTCCGCAAAATGTCTCTCGATATGGTGTAGGTAGCAAACAATCAAAGAACTATCAGGCCATAGTGCGCACGTAGCGCGGTGTAACTGCGCAACACGCGCAGTCGCCGGCATTTATCAACAGCCGGCCGTATGCACTGCATCGCGGAGATAACAATACTTAATATTCTATGAATATACAGTACGATAAATGTTATTAGGCCATCTGTATGTATATTGTTTTATTATAGACCAAGTTTCCAGTGTGGTCCACGTGTACTAAAAAAATAATTTTACTTATGAATCCGAGAGCCAGAAAAATAACTAAATCTAAAAAGACTTTAATATTTCAAAGGATCAAGTTTCAGCGACGGCTTAAGATTAATAAGCCGAGTATTGGTATTTAATATAATACATACCTTAATCTCTTTGATAATATTAGTTCTAAAAACAGTATGGAATAATATTACCAAGGAACGATCCTTTAATAAAATTGGCAAGGGTAAATAGAAGACAAAAATAAGTTCACGAAGGGGGGGCGCCCCCAGTAAGTAATGCCTGTAGAGAAACAGTGAGCATTGCTTCTAATTCAATATGAATAATGAAATAAAGAGAAGGTCGGCGCCACTATATTGTTTTATACCTATTAACGATAGTGGGTCGTTACTTGCCATAACATTAATTGTTTAAAGGACACTGAATAAGGACGATTTCTATCACAAGGTGCGTGGAATTTACTTAAGCCTTGGTTCAAGGGAAATTCAGGATTGGTAAGGGCGCTATTTGGTAGAATACCACATCTTTAAAACCACACGTCGTGCTCTTCGTGGTAGAAGCTTTGGCGACAAAAATCCATTTTGATAAAACTTAACGTGAGCTAACAGAGGCCGGTTGTATTAATTATGTAGTCAAACTCCGTCAAATTTGCACTGGGGTCACTTCTAAAGAAAACAGCTACCTGACACGAATAGGGGTGCAAAAGGACCTTCGTAATACAATTTAAGTAAAAGTTTATTAAAACGCTGAAAAAGACAATGCTTGTTTGGGAACACACAGTTTTACTTAAGCACCATAGGCACTTTACGTGACTAAATACATAATTGATGTATTTTGCCTACACAGTCAAAGACACAAGACATGGACTCTCATTGATGTTGAATACACTCCCAGACGCTGTCGCGCATGCTTGTTAAGAGACGATCCCATCATCCATCACAAACAGAAAAAAATATTGTTTGGCAGGTTTTTAATGAAGTACATAACAGAGCCAGAGGATTGCGTTATTGTATGTATATTCGTGGACAATGAGTATTCAGAATTCAGAGGACGATGTGATTCTGGTCGATCGTGTTCGTACATGAATTATGTATGTACGGTGCAATCAGTGGCGTCGGTAACGACAAATTACTCCACGTATATCAGGACAATGGTATCGGGCGGTATCGCTAATGTATAATGTAAGTTACAGCCAGCCGCTGATGATAATGCACAACGCACTGTTGATTTAGTCCCTACATTTAATGCGATAAAGTATCGCAGTTTTATAATTTATCGTAGGGAAAAAGGACATTATGTAATTGACTATGGCTGTCGTTAATGGTACGTTCAAAATAGGGAGAAGTTCAAACTCGCTACTGCTATAAACACAGTACAAAGCACATACAACTTAAGAAAATTTTCGCCTACTACCATTATTATGCTGATGAATTATTGTGATTGAAAAGTACATGATTGAATTATTTCCGCTCAAATCGTTTTCAAGTACATAATTGATTTTCCCATCAATGAACCACGTCAAAGTGTTGGGTTAGCCAACAGATTAGGGATAGAAATGTTATTTTGGAAGTGGGTCGTGGAGTGGTGAGGAAAACAAACGGGAATATAGAGCAAAAACATGTTCTATGTCAAAATATTTGACGTATTACGTGTAGGTTTGTGTTCTGACTCGAATATTTCTATTAATTTTACTTTTGTAACTCTCCGCGTTGGTATTTCTTTATATTGTGGATAATTTGTCGTATGTGTTGTAACTAATAGCTACCCTTTGTTTTACTTTAGTTAACCTTAATTACAAAGAAAACCACTTTATAATAAGCCTAACAATTGAAATAAATATTTTGGTGTCTATGAAATTCAATGGCCATTGTTCTAATGATTAACCTAATTAATAATATTACTAACAAATTAAATGTAAATCAATACTTTATTTCATAATTAGTACCTATGTATATCTATCTATATTACGATAATGTTGAACGTTCCAACAACACCGAAAGTAATCCAATGGAATGGTGACAATATTTCTCCAGTCTAGCCTTTAATGCTAAGGACATCAAATGCTCATTTATATCAATGTGTATAATTCGTCGTAAAAGGGCAAATATTTGAATTTTCTTATGGCTTTACCAAGTTTATGTTCGTAACAATTTATTCAGACAAATATGTTTTAGACACTTTACGCATTACAATAGTTTTGTGGCTAAAATCCTTACTAATATTATAAATCTGAAAGTGAGTTTGTTTGTTTGTTCCACCTTCACGCCGTAACTACTCAACCGATTGCTTTGAATTTTTGCAGACGTAAAGTTAGAAGTCTGGATTAAATAATAGGGTACTTTTTAACCCGGAAAAATTGATATTCCCGAGGAAAAACAAAAGTATTGGTATAGATGGCGCTGTGTGAATTGGTATATGTCACATAGGCTACTTTTTATTCTTTTGTGACGCAAGCGAAGCAGCGGGTAAAAGCTGGTTAATAATAAAGCCAGATCTATCAATTAACTAGTCAAAAATCTATATAAATTCAAAAGTTTTGGTATGATATCATTATAAATTTCGACTGTTGGTGGTCATCTAGAAACATATTTTAATGCTTTTATTAAAAGGCAATTTGATGAAGATGAAGGGTTGAAGGATGTAGATTATTTCAAATTCAATGCTCTAACGTATTCTCTAACACGTTCACGGGCCTGGAGAGACTAGTGCAACTAATGGAACATTTTACAGCACTTCTCATTCAAATAACACCTCTTAAGTAATTGGACCGATTCGTACCCCATCTGTTGTAAATTAACTCAAAAATAATTGTACAGAAAGTATTGTATTTAATGAAACAGTATTAAAGATAAATCGGTATTTTTGGGTTATTCCGTGAATCCTTCGTAATCCATTGACGCCCAGGCGATCGTCATAATCCGGGTAGCCATTATCACGCTGACGATGTTTGCACGACCGAATGAATGTAGTTAATGAATACTCCATTAGGGCGGGGGAGCTAATCCTATTTTTTCTATAGATATCTTTTTTAACTCAAACACTGTTCAGTTCATACGAAGATGTCGATTAATGGTCTCTAATCAAAAATACCAACATAACTCTCTTGATTCATTAGTTAGTCGTTCTCTTACCGTTTCCACCAGATCAGATCAATCAAGTGAGCACATACTGCATTTTTATAAGTTAGCACAAACATGATTAGTAAAAAATTGTAGTCAGACAAAAATAGCGTCGACAGATGGCGCTAAATGGGCAGGTGCGCGCGCGCCGACCGTGTCAAGGCTCATCTTTTATGGTCAAGGTTGTCCCCATAGATGTTTTATGAACGTTTATTTGACTCAATTAGTAGGTCTGTTGTTATTCGTAATAATTATAATTGTAAATAGCGCTCACATAACTACAGACACTTGATACTGCTTAATTGGGTATTTTAATGAATTAATTTTAATTGTGTACGTCCCTACTACATTGTTTCTCTCCTATGACCAAACATATGTTTTGTCCTCATCCTTTTATGACGTTCAAATGTACTAAACAATCTAAACATAGAAC